ACAGAGTTTTTATAAATTGCACTCAGCAGCATAAGGCAGTAATTTAATTTTTTATACCGGTGTGAACTTTGGCCATCATTTTTTTACCAAAAGAGGCTTCCAGGAGCTCTAATTTTACGTTTGGAAGCACGCTTAGAAATTGGAATAGGAGAAAAATGAGTTTAAAAAATAAATTAATATCTTCTAATCCCAACTCATGGATTCCATGCTATTTCAGTCCTCAAATTGCACAGTTTGTTTGAGCTAGAGCAAGGCATAAAACTAACATGTTACAGTTCACAACTGCCGTTGAACATCAACCCGTTCAACCACACGATTCCATTTAATGTATGTAATGAAAAAAATATAGTGGGTTGTTTTTTATAATTTTTAAACATCAACCCGTTCAACCACACGATACCCTAATAAACGTCAGATGTTTAACCACAATAATTTATTTACCAATTCCCACTTGCCAAGTACATTATTGTAAAGTTTACCCTTAATGTTAACCAGAAATTTTAGTTTTTAATAAATTTCGTATGTCAAATATTGCATCATATACACGGTTAATATACATTATTGTGGATAGAAGAGAGGTTCGTGTAAGTTAGTTTCAATTTTAGAGGATGTTTCAATTTATAACCTAGTAAATGTCAGATGCATGTTTAACATTAAGAACACATATTATCAATATTTTTGAAAAAATCTTTGATGTTTATAATTTTTGAACAGCAACCCGTTCAACCACCGATACCCTTAATAAATGTCAGATGTTTAACAACAATAATTTATTTACCAATTCGCACTTGCCAAGTACATTATTGTAACCATTGGATCGTCACAATATATTGTATTTTTCTATTAGTTTACTCTTAATGTTAATCAAAAATTTTAGTTTTTAATAAATGTCAGATATTGCATCATATATACAGTTAATACACATTATTGTGGATAGAAGAGAACTCCGTGTAAGTTAATTTTATTTTTAAGAGAGGTCCGAATAATTTCTCAAATCATAAGAAAGGTCCTTATAATTATCGTAAACTATAAGAGAGGTTCATATAATTAACCCTATATTATATATATAACCATAAGAATTGTGTGGTGGTATTTATATGGGGTAAAATAGTTATTTTATATTCATTAATGTTTTGATATTTTCAATCATATAATAATGATGATAGATAAGTAAATTCACTACACAATCTAACATAAGAGTGTCTTTGTTAAAAAAAGCTCTGAATATTGGATTTATTTGCAATTGGACAAACCTTACAACAATATAAATGTGATACATTGCCTTAAACATTTATTTTATATATATACCTGCAATTGCAATTGGAAGAAAAGTCTACATTGAGCGTACAAGGCTGGCTCTCAAATATTGCTCTCAACGTGCCCTTTACCTCCCAGCCCCACATTTACAATAACGATGTATCCTAATCTACAATGGAGATTATTTCTCTAGAATTCCCTCCTAACTTCTTTACTCTTCTCGGACCACTACTTATATCTTCAAATATTTACACAATTTTATTCCAGTTTAGAATCATTCGCAAAACTCTACATTACTCCTGAAGACTTCATAATTACCATGCAACATCTTACTTAAAATAGGTCCTTAAACATTTATTTTGAAAGTCTACTTTGTACAAGCCTAGCTATCAAACATTGCTCTCAACTTACACTTTAGGACTTGATGGTTACAAATGAAGTCCTCCTATTTATAAGCACCACATCTCTAATGGACTATAAAGATGCATCCTAATATATGGTGAAGATCATTCCTCTAGAACTTCCTCCTAACTTCACTACTATTCTCGGACCACTACATATATTTACATAATTCTGTACAAGTTTGGAATCCTTCACAAAACTCTACATTACTCCAGAAACTCCATAATCTCCTCTTACCGTGTAGACACCATGCAACATCTTACTTAACTCGTGTTGCCTGCCTGGTGTAACCTCCAAAGACAGGTGTGACAATATTATGGGTTTCATTCAAATATATGACCAAGTTATATGTCTTCTTAATATTGATAAAAAAATTTGAACTTTGTCCTTTAAGAAAACCTAATAGTACCTAGTTGAATGCCAAGATACTTTCTAAGATCTCCTATTTTTCTTGATAAATTATTACGTGAAGATTCTTACATTAAAATGCTACATTGACATGATATGTACAAAGTGAATGAGGCCATTCAATTTTAAAGAAAAATGTATCCAGTATAGATGCATTTGAAAGGAGTGTGTGTTAACTCAACTACAGTGGTTTTAGTGATGGTCTCCTCCCTCTAAGATGCATAGGGTAGAGGTCATGACTCAAATATGACATTAATTAAGATTTAAACAATACAATTTTATACATATGTGTGTGATACAGAAAGAGGCCTATAATTTGCTGATGCAATGATATTTTTTAGAAGATTGTGATCAATTGTTCATGTTATTTTTCTAAATGCATACATTTTTTAAAAAAATTGATTTAGCCTGACAAATTTATTTTCTTATTCAAAATAGAATTAGCTTCATTTGTTGGACGTTCGTGAAAACTGAAAAGTTTTTGTTTTTTTAATCTACTTTTCTTAGGAAAATACGAATTCGTGTCTTTGCAGCCTCTAATCGACTTGGTTTTATCTGTGGGTGCAATGCAGTGTGTCAAAATGTGGAGATTTTAACCTATGCTAACAAATGGATTGGTGTCTCTTATATATATTTTTTCCATCCATAAAAGAGGGTTAAAGAACTCCCTCTGAATTATTTAAATTTATGTTTCGTTTGAGAGTATTGAATCAACGCCTTAAAACTCGAATTAAACTAAATTTCTCCAATTCAATTTCCAAAACTCGAATTAAACTAAATTTCTCCAATTCAATTTCCAAAATGCTGATTCGATATTCTCAAACATAACTTTACTATAAGCTCAAAGCATTAGAAGTGATTCTCATATTTTGACCCTATTATTGTGCCATTTGGTTTCAACATCAGTTTGAAAACGATCATAAATTTCTCTGAAAAATGAAAATTATGAAGCCACCAATTTTATCTCAAATTAAGTCATTCAGATCAGCATTGTTTGGGCACCCTCTGAGTCTAGGATACAATTAGAATTTAGAACACATCTTGTTGGTGGATTTATTTAGTGGTTACACTATTATTTATTCCCTGCCACTAAAAAAATCCTAATTTGTTCCATTATCGTAAATATGATCATATTTTCTATGGTAACTTTGATTTTAGGAACAAGTTTATGAGAAGCGCATTCAAAAGGAAGTAAAAAATAATACTATTAATAAGGATATGTTTTTTTTTTTTTTTTTTTTTTTTTTTTTTGTCATTAATTATAAAAGTCCACGAAGATATATCATTAATGGATGAAGTTAACAACATTCAAAAATTTCAAAAAAAAAATCTCAAATTTCAAAATCCCAGAAAGAGGAAGCAGGAAGTGTTCACATAACTTGTTTTCCATATTTTGTAAAATATTTAGTCTTATTTTTGCTTTATCGATCATGTTTTCTTTAATCTTGAAAATTACACACACACACACATATATATATATATATATTCATGTGCAAAAAACCACTAGACACGTGTCTGTACATATATATATATATATATAATGGTAGCATAGAGTAAAGCTTCCTTCGGGTTCTTAATTTTGAATCTTCCTTCTCATCTTTGATTACTCAATAATGTCCACATGCACAAATTTCACTTTTTATAACAGAAATTCTTCCACAAAGTAATTCATGTTTTTTTCCTAATTTATCGGTTATATAATGAAAAGTATAGGATTTTGTCACCTCTCCACTACGGTTCCAAGGGATTGGACCACATAATTCAAAATTATTTAATAAGTTTTTTGAATGTATCACCTTCGATATATTTGAGTGTTTAAATTGCAACAATGCATATGGACAGGTGTCTTATGTAGCTAAAAAAACATGAGTAAGTAAATAAATAAGAATGTTGATAAATAGTCTGAAAGTTAAATGTACATAGATACTATTTTATGTAAATGAAGTACGACATTAATATAATGTCATGAAATATTACGATGTCATCATGACGTTATTTTTATTCACATCATTTTAGTCCGTTACCCTGACTCTCACACTTGGTATCATTACTCAATAAATAATTGTTCCTAATTTTGTATTTAGATAACAATAATTATTTAGAATTGGATTAATTTATGTGAGTGAATATTAATGTTATTAAAATAATCACATAAAATCAATAAAAGATTATTCAACTTTATATTATTACTCTTACACGAATGACTCTATTTAAAAAATTAAGAAAATTTATCACATGCTAATAAATTAAATTAAGATAATGAACCAAAAAACTTGTCCCTCGTGAAACAAGCACTATATTATTTTGAACATGCGTTCCACGAGGAAATTAGGTTTGAAAAAGTGGGTCAATTTTGATTGAACGATTAATAAGAATGGGACAATAAAATAGTCTCAAAAGGAGTTATCAAGAGTCTCTTACATTGAAACCAATTGTAATTATTGGTGGTGGGGTCGGGGTAAGTGAGGGGACACCCACCAAGAAATCACACATCAATCTTTCCAAGGTTCGAATTACACTACTAATATTACATGTGAATAACGTGCGGTATTAAAGTAGTAAGATCTCTCTACGCGCAAGGATAATTGATCCTATGCAACTTTAACATACAATCATGATTTTCAAATAACCGATTTTAGGGCGAGGTTAAAATTAGTCAAAATTCGTTAGTGTGAGGTTAAAATTGACAGAATTTATGCAGGGAGTAACTAGAGAGACTGTATTAGCAATTTGATGAGGATACTTTGCACACAATTTGCAGGAGAAACCAACTTTTACAGGCTTCACGTGATCCGGCCATTTATTGGCCAGAATAATGAGACATAAAAACCTAAAAATCACGTGCATATACGTGATTAATCATTGTGTTCTTGGAAAAGTTCTAAGTACCAAAGCTATCACAATTCACAAAGCTATCAACCACTTTTACCTGATTCAATATGAAAATTTGGAATCAATCTATGCACATTGTACAATGAAGGTTACACAATTTTCGCAAAAACCCGAAAATCCATTGAAGAACTGAAACAACACAATGAGCATCAATTCCCAATTACAACACATACAATGAGCATCAATTCCAAGTCCAAAACAGAGCAACAAAATGTGGTACAACAGATCAATTTTCCCTGTAAGCAATATAATTCGACAATGCAATCAATGGCGTGGCCTTCTCCGGATCGAATCCAGCAAGATGACTCTTAGCCTCATCATTCAACTTCTCAGCAAACTCTCTGGACTTGTCAATGCCAATCAGCTTTGGATATGTGACTTTATCGGCCACCAAATCTTTGCCTGCAGTCTTTCCCAATTCTTGGGAGGACTTGGTCACATCAAGAATGTCATCCACAACCTGAAACAACAATCCAATACATCTTGCAAATTTTCTGAGTTTTTCTACTTCTTGATGTGACCCACCTCCCAAAATTGCCCCCAAAACCACTGAGCCCTCCAACAAAGCTGCAGTCTTGTGGACGTGAATGAATTCGAGGTGTTCCAACCCAATTTCAGAGACGACTCCTCCTTCAGAACTTATATCAACCACCTGGCCTGCAACCAACCCTTCTGACCCAATTGACTTCGCCAATTCTCCGATCACCCGGACGATTCTCTCCGACGAAACCCCCACCGTGGCGGTGGCGATGTGTTCGAACGCGAAGGCAAGGAGGGCGTCGCCGCCGAGGACCGCCACGTCCTCGCAGAAGGCCTTGTGGTTGGTGGGCTTTCCGCGGCGGAGGTCGTCGTTGTCCATACAGGGGAGGTCGTCGTGCATCAGGGACATGGTGTGTATCATCTCCACCGCGCAGGCCGCCGGCATCCCAGTGGACTCGTGGCCGCCGACGAGCTCGCAGGCCGCGATACATAAGGCGGGTCGGATCCTCTTGCCGCCGGCGAGGAGTGAGTACCGCATGGATTCCTGGATCTTCATGGGTTCTCGGAGCGAAACGGCGGCGTCTAAGGCTTGGTTGACGGAATTGGCCTTTTCAAGCATGTAGTACTTGAAATTGAATGGTTTTGATAAATGGGTTTGTTGGTTTTCGTCTTCGTCGTTGACAGTTCGTTCTTTGGTGAGAATTGCAGAGACGGAGAGAGAAGAGAAGGAGATGGGTCGTGCTGTAGGTTTGTTCTTCAGAGGTTGGATGAACATGGAGGTTGTGGATCTGGATTTGATTGGAAGGTCATACATGAAATGGGTTTGGACCGTTGTTGTGCTCAGATTCATAGCCATTCTTGTTACACTTCTATATACTTAGATTGGTACTGCTGTGTGTATATTTTGTAGAGAGAGAGGAGGAGGGGAGAGAATTGTAAGTTGAGACCTTTTCAAGCTGCTATAAAATCGACCATGAAGTGTCTGCTATTGGGTACTGGTGAATCATTCCTCAATAACCAAGGTCCGTATGATTGTTCAGATTCTGAATTATTATATGGAAAAAATCTAGAGAGAGAATTTGTACACACACAGAGAGAGAGAGAGAGAGAGAGAGAGAGAGCAGATGTTTGAAGTATGCAGAACAATAATCGACCGACCACAGTACCCGAACATAAGTAATTGTGATGGACGATTAAAAAATAAATAAATAGATAAAGTATTTAATTCATTTACACCCCAGTGTTTTGTCGATATTTCAAGGAGACTCCTTACATTTGCAAATCTTCAGTTATACCCTACTTTTTTTGTCTTTCCCTCATTTAACGGTCAAAGTTAGTCAAACATACTTCTCACTGACATCAACAAAAATATAAATTATAATACCCATATTGCCCTCCAATAGTCATGTTTGGCTACAAAGACTATATACCACTATTAAAGGGCAACTTTTTGTGTGACTGCCGCTCCACACCATACGTGTCAGCAGCTTATTGGTTGCTGACTTTTTTTTGTTTTGTTTGTCATCTCACTGGATCTTCTCCCTCTCACGTATTCTCTTGCCCTTCTTTCTCTCTCTAACCTCTCTCTGCAGACTCATTTTCGCGTGTGAGAGATCATTCCATAGGTTTAGATTAATTGATCACTCGGTTCTTAGATATTTGTAGAGAAATTTGGATTAATTGATCAATTTGATTATTCTGTTCTTGGTTATTTGCAGAGAAATTGTTAACACAAATTTTGGTAAATTTTGTATTAATGACATGGCAACCAATTTGAGTATAAATTGACACGTGGAAAAGGTAACAGAAGCTGCATGCAGATGCAAAGGAAATTGAAGCATTTAAATTATTTAATGGATAGGGATTATAGTGACACTATTTATCTTTTAATTTGTTTCAATCAGATGCTAGTGGTTATCCACAAATTAGTTTAATTTAAATTCATAGTTAGGTATGTTATAAAATTGTAATGCAATTAAAATACTTGCATATAAGAATTTGTTTTTACGTATTATTCTATAAATAATTGTAGAGGCATGTTGTGTTAGAGGTCCAACACTTTCATAATCTTTTTATTATTGTTATTGCTTTCTCAAGCTCTTCCCCCATATCCCCTTCTCTTTGTCTCGTTATATCTCTCTTTCTCTTAATCTCTTTCTATATCTATATTTTCTCCCCTTTCTATTCTCACAAACTGTTACTAATTTAACTTACTTTTGAAAGTCCTTTTTACTAAGGCAATCTTGAACCCACGAATGAGTTCTACGTTCTCTTTCTCCTATAATCGCCTGAAAGTCAATTTCTCAAAGAGACTACCGTTGACTACACATACTTGAACCATACAATTGGTTTTGGCACCCTCGCATTACATCAAATTTAGAATCGACTTTAGCCAGCTGATTTTAGCGTTAACATTCTTGGCACGCCCGGTGGAACCCCACTAGGTAAGTGCTTTATAGTAAAAATATGCAGTCAGCTTCTCAATCGACGTATAAATATTTTGATCAGTCAAATAAGCCAATGTATCAGTATTCTAATCAGCCATGTGGTTGGCCAGACAATTATCAACAACTAATCCCTGATTATCGACAGACGCCAGCAGCCGATTATCGGCAGGTGATAAATCAGCCACAGCAGCCGATTATTGGCAGGTTTCAACAATCGATTATCGGCAAGTTTTAGCAATTGATTATCGGCATGTGGTAAATCAACCGATTCCTCCTGTATATCAGCCACTTTCAATACATGGGGGGCAATCAATGACTAATCAACCATATGATTGGCCAGAATATTAGTCACAACCCGGTGCAAATCAGCCACCAATGTTATACCACTCGCATGCTACCGATCAACACTATTAGCAGCAAAGTTAGTCAGAAAATCAGTTTCCATCGGCAGAGAATCAACTGCTAGCAAAAGACCAAATAAATGGCTTGTCAGATTATTATCAATCACTAATGGCAAATCTGTTACCTTTATTATAAGAGGAGCTACTTATAACCAGTATCGAAATTGGCCAATCTTGGTGATCTCGGTAGGAAATTTTACCAGAAAATCGGCAGTAAAGTTTGTCAGAATATTATCATTCATTGACTGCCGATTATCAGCAAGTTCTAATAGCCGATTATTAACATGTGGTAAATCAACCAGTTGCTCCTATATATCAGCCATTTTCAGTACATGGGGGGCAATTGATGACTAATTAAACATATGGCTTACCAAATTATCACCAATTGCGCTCGGCAATAAATCAACCACATATAGAAATCAACGAGCCTTACCGATCTCGGCAAGAAAGTTTAACTAAAAATCAGCAGTAGAGTTGGCCAGAATATTACCAACCACCAACGGCTGATCAGATGCCAGTGGTAGAGCAAGTTCAACTAGTTGAGAAGAACGAAAAGAAGATCTAACCGATTTTACAAATTGGCTCTAGTCTTGACGAATATACCATATGACCTGTTATGCCATTAGCGCAGATATTAGAGAGGCTCCTCTAGATGGAAGCCAAAATTAGCGGGTTTAATAACAACTTGGATTCCACGGCAGCCCAGATATCGGCCACTCAAAACAGGCCGATGTAGGCAGAAAATTTCAAAGAATCAAAAATCAACCGCCAGTGGTTGATCAATTTAACAAGCGTATCAACTCGGTGGAATTCCCTTGAGGATACAAAGTCCCAGACTTTGTTACCTTTAGTGGTGAAGGAAACCAATCGACCGTAGAGCACATTGGTAACTTTACAGTTCAATATGGGGAGGGCAGTACTGGTCCCTGGTGAAATTAAGGTTGTTTCCAAACTCCCTAACAGGGGGTGGCCTACTTATGGTTTGTTACTCTGCCTTTCAATTCTATCTATAGTTGGCGACAAATGGAAACAATGTTTCATACTCGATTTTGTCTTACCAAACTAAAATTAATAACATGTGATAATCAGCCATTTACCCTATCGTTTTAAAAAAAAAATGCGGTTGATACTAAGAAGAGGGCAGTTGACGACGGCGCTTTAAAGTTTCCTGAAAAACAACTGAAAGTTAAAACAAATAAAAATGTGATCAACCTTCTTACTAGAAAAAATGTTGATCTTGGTAATGAAAAGAAGCAGCCAAAGGTCGTTGAATGGAAAGGTACAAATCGGCAGAGAGAAAATCGGATAAAAACAAAGCGGCCTGTGTACCAAAATTCTTTGCCGATTGTGATATCTAATAATCGGCAAAAACAATCATCAGCTGAAAGAATTGTTTTAGTTCGCTGTCCTTAGCCCAATTTCAAAAAAAATAAAAAATAAAAAATAAACAAACAAACAAACAAACTAGCCTATATTAATTTCAAAAGGTTACTTAGAGCTCAGTTAAGAAAATCAACTGAGGAAAAATCAGCTAATGCAAAATTGGCTGAGACAAAATCGGCTAAAAAACCAGCGGCTGCGGGGGGCATGTGATTGCAAACCCTCAACAAAAGTTAGTTGATCCAAATGCTCTACTTCAACCTGCCGATTATAATGAGGTCATGCTTGCCGATCAAAGGACTTTTGGGCATGATGCAGTCCTGCCGATGGAGCTGAATGTAAAATCGACTAAAGCAAAATCAGTTGAAAGACAATCGGCTGAAAGGAAATCAGCTAAGAAAACTCCTTCCTAGCAGAATGTCATAGAGATAATAGGCAGATCGGCTAGAATGATGCTTCACAATAATTTAATTTCTGCCAATCATGATCATGATTTGTTAATGGAGTTAGAAAATGCATGGGGGGCAAGTCCTTCCCGGGTTTATGGGCAAGCGATATCGGCAAATTTTTTGAGAATCTAAGAAGAAGCCTAAATCGGCAGATTTGGCTAAATAAAGATCATCTTAGGGGTGTTTCAGAATAAATAAAGCTTTGGAACTCGTTGATTTGCAATCTTATTCCAAGTGACTAGCGCATTCCTTGTTCAAAATTTTCTTCCAATGTTCTTTAAATTTCAAATATCTTATCGGCTTGGACAGCAAACAGCCGATAAGACATTTAAAATTGGGGGGCATTGTTAACACCTATTTTAGTAAATTTTGTATTAATGACATGGCAACCAATTTGGGTATAAATTGACACGTGGAAAAGGTAACTGAAGCTGCATGTAGAGGCAAAGGAGATTGAAGCATTTGAATTATTTACTGGATATGGATTGCATTGACAATATTTATCTTTTAATTTGTTTCAATCAGACGTTAGTGGTTATCCATAGATTAGTTTAATTTAAATTCATAGTTAGGTATGTTATAGAGTTGTAATGCAAGTATTTGCATATAAGAATTTGTTTTCACGTATTATTCTATAAATAATTGTAGAGGCATCCTGTGTTATAGATCCAGCACCCTCAGAATCTTTTTATCATTGGTATTGTTTTCTCAAGCTCTTTCCCTATATAATAACCTTGCTATTTCTGTCTCTCTATCTCATTCTCTCTATCTCGTTCTATATCTCTTTCTCTTAATCTCTTTCTATATTTATATTTTCTCCCCTTTCTATTCTCACAAACTGTTACTAATTTAACTTACTTTTGAAAGTCCTTTTTACTAAGGCAATCTTGAACCCACAAAAGAGTTCTATGTTCTCTTTATCCTATAATCGCCTGAAAGTCAATTTCTCAAAGAGACTATCGTTGACTACACACACTCGAACCATACAATTGGTTCTGGTACGCCCGCATTACATCAAATTTAGAATCGGCTCGCGTCAACATTCTTGGCATGCCCGATGGGACATCAAATTTAAAATCAGCTTTAACCAACCGATTTTAGCGTTAACATAAATCGACAACTAATAAAGCTTAGAACAGCAACATTAAGCTTATCTTTACTGGCTTCTTTGCTCAGTTCATCTTTTACCGCCGGTGCCATTCCACCATCTTGGTCGGTGGGTTTTTCGTTGCTCACAATGGAATCCTTACTCGTCAGAATTCTCTTTTACTATCATTGCCGCCGCTTCCTCACCGATAAGACATCAAAGCTCGCCGACATACATACCTCTATCGTTGTCGCCAATAGTAGCAGCAACAAAGCAAAGGCTGAGCGATGGTTCCTCATCGCCGATAAGCTTCTCGAATCCGACCCCCAGCACTTCAATTTAACTCATCAATTACATCATTCTCATCAATATAGCACTAAAATTATCTAATATAACCATAATTCAACC